TCAATGAGTAGAAAGGAAAATCCAGAATTCGGCTACCCAAGCATGAAACCAGCCACAATGTAAGAAAAGTAAGATTATCGTCATAAAATGCAAATTCAAATTAGCTTTTTCATAATTCATTTTCATGTATTTCATCGCGGTCCGCGACAACTAGCACCGAGCCAATTGGAGGTGATTTGAAGCGAAGATATAAGTAAATCCCCTTTCACCACGTCACTTGCATAACATCTTGCAGACTTACTATGATTCAATGGAGGCAGCGGCACTCCAAGTATCCGAAATCCGGTCCCTGTCTGTGCAGAATGAAACACACATGAGAATGTGAATCGAATAATCGTGTCATTAATTTTACTGGTTGAGCAGCAGAGAAAGAACTTCTGATCCAGACAAAAGTCTGCTATGCTAGAGAAAATATTTCTTGCTGTAGCTGCTGTACCCACAGAAGAACTTTTGTGTGCGTGTGTGTGTGTGCGTGTGTGTGTGTGTGCGTGTGTGTGTGTGCGTGTGTGTGTGTGTGCGTGTGTGTGTTTGCCAAAAAGACCAAAAAGTAGGGATTCACTGGCCAGAAAAAGGCAACTTCATAGCTGTGTGGTGTAGACCAGGCTGAATAGTGGCGGCCAATTCTTCAGCCTTGCAAGCTGTTGAATGGTGCAATCCCAGCACAAGTTGCTATGGCTTCTTCTGTAGCATCGCTATCATCGCCTCCGGCGATGGGCGTCCAATGGTCCAATGGTGTGTGTCTGCGTGTGTGCGTGTAACACCCACACATCCATAAAGTGAGGGCAACATTACGCTGTTCAACACCCTATACAGTTAACAGTATAGCTGTTTGGCAAACTCATCATAGTATCAACTCATCATAGTATCAAGGTACAACGCTACACGCAAACAACAGCAACACTCAAGAGATGGCAGAAAATAAGAAAACTAACCTTCATCACTGACATTTTGTGCGCACTGTAGCTGGTCCTTGCGGCTAGTCTCCTCCGGATCAAACACACGCACGTGTACCTGGCTGTTGGCTTGACTGGACAAGCTGCCCTGGAGGTCACCACCGCTGCTCAGAACGTCTTCAACTTCCTCCTCCTTTCGGTTCATCACGGCCATTCTAGTAATGATGTACAGCGGTAACAGAATGAAAACGATAATGACAACACTTGATGTTTGAGGAGTTGGGACATTTTTTTCTCTAAATATTAACAGCTGGAATTCAAAACGTGCCAAATCCATTTTGGTCAATTTCCAGATGACACCATGTCTGCTTCAGCTTAACCCTTTGTGAACGGACTGTACGAGTTTCGATCTAATAAAATCGAAACTTCAAACGCGAATTTTTCTGGGCGCACCGCACATTATCGGCGATATTTTTTACACAAATCGAATGACGAAAATCCATATCTTTCCATGCTAAATTCGCCGGGGTCTCTAGTCAAAATGTTGACCAAATCGGCTGCGCAAAAAAATTGAGAGCTTGCGCAAGCATGCATAACTAAAATTGCAGTACGAGTACTGTCATGGCATGCCGATGCGCACGATGCCATCGGCGTGATTCTGAACTGGAACTCTGACCAGGACAGTTCTGGCAACCCGCTTGACGAGTCTGATGACGACGAGTTCGAAGTGGACAGTGATAGTGATGATATCCCAGAAATTCAAGAAAACAATTTATCTGATGGATTTGCTGACACTGCTAGTAGCGAGAGCGGCGGCGAGGATGATGTTGGACAGCTTATCCTATCTACATTCCGAAAACGTATGGTGTTGTATTGGCTAATGCACACCGATTTCGAGTTCGATTTTCGCATGTCGCTTCTTTCCTATACAAATTTCGCAGTCCATAAAGGGTTAAAGAGTTCTTTCAGTTTGTACCCTTATCACAATTTTTCTTTTTGGCACTTAACGAGTTTTCCAGTGCTGCACTCTAGGTGTTTTGGCATTATGACCTAGTACTAGACTGCTGTTGCTAGTGCATGAGCGGTCAAGTTTGGTATGTACGCATTAAAAAATGTTTTTTAGTGAAATATCAGGAATTGTTGCCCTATAGACACGATAGTGAGCCAACTGTCCATGTCAAGACATCATGTGTTCCGAAAATAATGTTTTTACAGTGGGCGTATCAGCATGCAATAATTACCATGACGTATCCCATTCGATATCCATTCTTATCCTGTATTCTTTCATGTTGTTTTCCATCAATCATTTGATTGACGACGACACGAAAATGCAAATAATAATAACATCATTCGGCTCACCAAGTTTTGAGCTTTGATCAATCTCAACATTCTTATCACTTGTAGAATGCCTGTTGCTGCAAATTCTTTATTATTATTTTGATATTGAAGTTCGGATTGAGGTTCATTCCTTTCTTCCTCTTCCTTCCCCTTTCTTGTCCCTTTGGTTTTTAGCTACTACATTTTTCCTTTCTTTTTGCTGTCCCACCCATGGAATTATCTTCCCGGTGGAACTGGCTTATTCACTTCGAGAAAAGTGAGTAAAGGAGACATAATACAGTAAAACCTGTAACTAACGACCACCGTGACTAGCGACCGGCCTGGTACTACCGACCACTTTGTCAGGCACGGACGGTCTCACATTCAAAATGCACTGTGACTAGCGACTACCTGCTGAACGCGACCAGCGACCGCCTTTTCTTGTCCCAATGTCGAATTTTGACCCGTAACTAGCGACCGCGATGTAGCAAATCAAACATTGCTTGAAGCTCCTTCTCGAAATTTTGATGATTTTCCATGGTCGTTTCGATACTACAGCTGGACAAATGAGCGCAGTCTCATTTTTACTGTGGAATTTTTTACTGTGGAATCAGTGTGGATTGCACTACACCTGTAATAATTTCATGTGCTGTCAAGAACAAACAAGATAGGAAACGTCTTGGAGAGCGCATCCAAAGCGCTTTTGATCGATGTTACTACTCGAAGGAGAAACTAAGACTGAGCGGCTCTCTGTCGAAATGCAATCACACAGCTCAGTCACCAGACTCACCACTACACCAGGTCACACTGACAGTCTGTGCTGGCTAGCTAGCATGCTACGGTATTATGTACTCAGCTGTACGGAACACAGGCCAGGATACGATGGCGGATAATAGTTCCGCCATTTCCCCTCATCCAACCCCAGAACTCGCAGCGAGCATGTTAGCGTCATTGGCCATGATCACCAGCTCCAACACCAGCTGCTTGCATCTGTCCCGCTGGCATTAAAGCGCTCGTTCCCACACTGCAGTATTAGTGACTGGAACTCCCTCCCCGCTGCTCTTCTGTCCCAGCCTCCCCACAGCAAGGGAATACAAGCATTCAAAACTAATGTTTATCGCCATCTGCGAAGCACAAACTGGCTCTGGGCAGTCGACCCGCTATGATGATGCTCTCGTCGTTCTCCTCTATCCCTATCTATGCACCACAACTGGCTCAGACAACCGACTCACCATGATCAGCCATGATGATGCTCCTCTCAGTAACAGCCCTTGTAATTTGTTAAAGGGGAAGTTAAGGCAAAAATTAAAATTTCACCAGTTGTAGTCTTCGGGGTGCTGAGTCGAATGGTCTTGGTCCGAGAAAGCTGAGACGCTCCCTTCCTACTTGAATCCCAATCGAACTCGCGCACTTCCACCGAAACTGGGTGACTGCGCCCTACGAGATGGGGATTTGTATGCAAAATGTCACTAAAAGCGCCATTTCGTTCTTATAAAAGCACGGATGACCGCGATTGGCCCATATGTTGTAGTCTTTTGGACGCTGAGTCGACTGGTTTCGGTCCGAAAAGGCTGCCATGCAGCGTTCGCCCCTAATTCCCAATCGAACATGGTTGAACAAGCGGTCACGTGCTCCTGCGTACACCAGTCAGCTGGTCACCGTGCCTGCAGGGTACAACTTACAGCCTGTTTTGACCTTTTTTGGGTGCAGTCCTGTCACTCGAGTTGAACCTTGGTGTGAAAGTTGTCGCCTGCTGGCGTGGTGACCAGGTGATTTTGGCATCCAGGAGCACGTGACCGCTTCTTCAACCATGTTCGATTGGGAATAAAGGAGGAACGCTGCATCGCAGCCTTTTCGGACCAAAACCAGTCGACTCAGCGTCCAAAAGACTACAACATATGGGCCAATCGCGGTCATCCGTGCTTTTATAAGAACGAAATGGCGCTTTTAGTGACATTTTGCATACAAATCCCCATCTCGTAGGGCGCAGTCACCCAGTTTCGGTGGAAGTGCGCGAGTTCGATTGGGATTCAAGTAGGAAGGGAGCGTCTCAGCTTTCTCGGACCAAGACCATTCGACTCAGCACCCCGAAGACTACAACTGGTGAAATTTTAATTTTTGCCTTAACTTCCCCTTTAATAGTCTCACAGTTTCTCCCGCACACTCGCTGGTGCTAACCCTTTAGGCCTTCCTTTCTTTTCATTTTGCTGACTCGTACAGCTCTATCTTTTGTTTTTGGTGCGTGTTTTTGGCCGTGATGCCGAGACCTCAGGTCGGCAGAGCCATCAATGCCCCACCACCATCACTGCTGCGTCTCGCTGCAGCCCCTGCTCAATAGTTGTCACGTTCGTCCTATACCTAGTCTCAGTATCATTGTCTTTCTTATTATTTTCGAGCTGGGAATGTGAACATAGTAAAAAAAAAAAAAAAAAAAAAAAAGTCTACAGTGAAAGGTGCGAAAACTCGCAACATCGCCGCATCACGTACTGGTACACACTACTCACTAGTACAGTTTACGCTACACTACATCCAAGTCGGAGCGACTGAGTTTCCACTGCAGATCAACACACTGATACCAGTTGCCAGTGTAGTCGCACACAGATGAGGATGGAGTCGATAGTGACTAGTGCACTGCCTGGCCAGGCCAGCGCTGCTCTGGAAACCCAGTCACCAGTGAGTCGACATACGTGTCAAAAGGTCGTATCGCTTTCGGTGTATAAAAAACTTGATTTTGTCTCTCTCCAAGTGTTGTATGATCTGAAAGAAGAATGTCAGTGCGCAAGTGGTGCGGGATTGTATTATCTGCATTTTGACATACATATCATATAATGGGATCCATATATGGTCGCGCGGTGCAAACCTCTAACTAAAGACCACCTGCCACTAACGACCACTTTTCCGGGCACCAAGGGGTGGTCGTTAGTTACAGGTTTCACTGTAGTGGGCGTACATATTTCAATTACACATCTCCTTCAGCTGGATTTAGTAATATCATGCCAGCAACCCTGAGTTGAACATGTACACCAATATCTCTTTAGTGCAGCAGACATAGATGTGACTGCACCCAAGTCTATAAGGCATCCGGGTGGCCTAGTTTTGCAGAAATATCACACTTATGCAAGTTGTCATGGAAATAGAGACATTATGTGCCACATTTCTGGCCCTGCATAGCATCGAATGTGATACAGAGTTATGGACACGTCAAAGTCACTTGGCAGTGAGCGGACCCGGACTGGGCGGACATTACAAGTAAGGGTGTACTCTGCTACTGTTTTCCACTTCGCTCTCCGACAATCTACCCAACTTTCCTCAGTTGCCCGATACACCATCAGAAACCAGAGCTACAGATATCTCAGTGTTCTGCCACGGGCAGTCAGCCGTCATCTGAAAACCAGCTGTAACACTTCAATGAGTCAAATAATTCAGTTCAGGGTGAAAAAACATAGTTCCGAGAATGAATGAGGATCTCCTGAAAAGCATATTGATGCATAAAAAGCTGCTTTAATTTAGAACTTTCCATTTTGCAAAGCAGCATCAATACTGTCCTTGAATCATTCTAGTCTGTTTAGGGTGAGACTTCCAAATTTGGCACATTCAGGAACTTGCAGATTTTCAGAGGCGCTTCTCTGATTACGGAGGGTACATTTTTACATGCAGGAGGCGTATGTACACTTTACAATACTGATGACACTACAGTTGATTAAGAATGCCTTGGAAAACTGATTTATAAAACAGGCTAGAGCTTACTGAGTCTCATCATTGCAAGTAGACTCTACACCTGTGAAGAAAACAGAGATACACACATACACACATGTATACACACATACACACATAAACACATACACACATGTATATACACAAACACATAATAGACACGTACACACATGTACACACACACAAACACACGCATCTAGGTTGCCATGAAGTCGAGACGACCCTAGGTCGGCGGAGCTCCCTAAACCTCAACACCCCTGCCACGATTCAGGTTGTGCATGCTTCCCCTAGCTGCACCTCATGTTTGGCATTTGTTTTAACACACACACTCGCACACAGACACATACAATCGTTCACAAACATACACCCACTCACACACTCGCACACAGACACATACAATCGTTCACAAACATACACCCACTCACACAGATCACAGTGATCACTGGGACTAATGCAAAAGAGTAAGCCAGTCATGAATTCTTTCTATCATACTTTTAAATGTGTAATAGGCAGACCATCTGGTAAAAGGAGAGCGATCGCTCTCGCGCGCCTTCGCTCTCCTTATTTTATTTTTGGGCGCACTTTTCGTCGCGCGCCTTGAGAATTTCGAGCGCATCCGCATCACTGTGAAGTGCATTCTGCAAACACTCAAATATTTCGTAACTCTGAACAGAATCGAGTACTCGAAAGGTCTTTTCGTATTAGAAGGTTCTCAGTCGTCGGCTCCAACTAATCGGAAGTCGACCCGAGGTCGAATAGTGGAGTTACGGCACTCGCAAGGTATTTTACGTACCGTTGCAAATTTTCACTTCCGCACTTGGGTGCCAATTATTATTATTTTGAGTCCTAGGTCAAACGGGTGTACCTTTAAGGGGGCAGCCTACCCAGAAATTTCATATGGCATTCAATTGACCGTAACTTTGGTGTTTCTCAATGGATTTGAGTGAAATTTTGACAACACACTCCTGCCACTATGCTGGCCCTCAGGACATGATTTACAAGTTCTTGCGCCTCACTGACAGGCTTTCCAGGCCGGAAAAACTCAAATTTCCGGCATAGTGCCACGGTGTGCGAGCCACCCAGGAGCCAAACAAATGCATTTACAATTTTTTCACATTTTCGTGCTCATTCTGTTCGTGCGCGGGACTCAAACCTAGAACAAGTCCAGAAGCAGCCACGGGTGATGGGGTAGGGCCCCTCAACGAGGCCCTGGAATCTGTCACAACCGAACGAGTGGGCGTTCTCTCACACACTCCCACAGACCCAAGTTAATTTTTGAATTTTTTTAGGTTTAGCACGTGCTACGAGGTCGTACCTTTGATACAACATCCAGTGCTGGGACCTCCACAGCAAGCCATTTCCACAGCGCTGCACACCAAATCCAGGATACCCTCAGAAACCGGCAAAGACTACCACTCACGTTTCACTACTGCCTAGTACTGAATCCTACCTGACTTCTTGACACGACTCAAACTTGCCAAAGTCACTAAATCAACGTCAACTACAATAATGGCCACATATCTGCAACGTCACGAGGGTGCTGGCAAAAGTCCTGCTGCACGGCGGCGGGCGAAGCCCGCCGCCGTGCAGCCCAATACGTGGCTCAAAAACCTGATTTTTTGGACTTGGGGCAAAATTCTGCACACTTTCACGTGTTTCCATGATACGACAAGTTGCGCACGGTCTGCTCACATTCAAATACAGTGCTGCCAACAAGTGACAGCGTGCAACAAAAAAATCTTTCCTTGCAAGGGCACATTTTCGGCCATAACTCATGAATGGCCGGTCAGATCGGGACACAATTTTCAGAGAATTTGCAGCTATTCATGCTCTTTCAACTGACGTAGCACTCAATATGAATTTACAAATTCGATTTTTCAGCGAATGTTTGGGTAGTCTGCCACCTTAACTAACGAACGGGTAGTTTTCTTAACGGGCGGGTTAACGGGTACCCTTTAGCAGCCATATTATTTTTTTGCGCATTTCTCACATAAATCATGATTTTAATTTGTATATTCTCAGGTTGTATTTTGATACTACATTATGATTCGCAATTGATTCGTGTATCATAATATTTTTATGGCAATGAAGGTTCCAAATGAATGTCATCCGTGCATTTGCCCATGTACATAACTTCACAGGCATTAACTTACAATCGTACATGTAGATGGTTTCTACAAGCTACATGTATTTTGATACATGTACGCAAATCAACTGCAGATCGATGTGATTCAAGCCATGCAAGGACAGAGTGGTTTAGCAAAACTTCCGTGATCTCGCGCAATCCTATTTGTTATGTTCGCAGAGAACTGGTACTCGTTGCATTCAGAAGATGTTCGCGCCCATAGCTAGCTGGGGTGCCTGACACATTTGATGTGCTGCTGGCCAGCTAGCTGCTAGTGCTAGCTTGTTGAACTCGTGAAATGAATCTTCACAAATCCGTAATCTTGTATGCAATATTTCAAACTACTTTTCAGCTCGTCGATTGAAGGAACAAACTACAACCATGAGTATCATACATATTATAGCTACCACCTACGGACATCACCGTTTGTGACACTCCGACTGGTCACACAGCCTGGTGACACTAGTTCATCAAGTACTGTGGCAGGTTCGATGTCGGAGAACCATCGTAACTTTCTAGTTACTCAGCTGCCACCTCGAACGAGTTTCAAGTCTTGCATTTTCTCACATCACAATCAAAAACCTCCAGTACGAGGATTTTTACTTGCACTAGAGTGGAGAGGACAACTGTCAAGTCTGTCTTTCAGCCTGCTCCTGCCTGATAAAGTCGAAAGCTGGAATGCACAGGAAAAAGGAAAAGAGTATCCGCACTTCTATTTCGAGTCTTGGAATACGATAGGATGACCTTTTTTTTTACAAACGGGTACCCTTTTCCTAACGGTACCTGAGATTAACGAGCGGGTACCCGGTACACCCGTTTGACCCCTAATTTTGACCTAAAGGATTTCCCTCTGTTGCGTGACAGTCCGGGCATGCATAGACCTGTGCGACGTCAGGCACAGGTCTTGAGCGGTTAGCTACAGAAGAAAGTAGCGCTCCACGATGAATACTACAAAATTACCATGGATGCGAATTGTCTCAATTTCCTATTGCGCGTGTCATCGTCCAAATTGATGAAGGGAAATTAAAGGCGTGGTACGAACAGCTTTCATTTGTAGTGCGTACGGCGATTTTCCGCATCAAATTTGGCAGCTATTGGGTATTGAATCCTATTGGGGTATGGCAAGATGTTGAAAAAACCCGTATTGTGCTCGCCTTGGATAGATATGGTGAGCGACTTTTTTGGGGGGGGGGGGACTGCTCTCCCACCACTCTCCTTGAGAGGATAGCAAGAGTGATTGTTCACTCTTATGCATTTTTCTTACACGAAGGTCTGATTCTGTTTCTCTATGTGTGTGCTGTGCCAACAATTTCAGACGAGTCTCTTGACCAACAGCTCTCTGACATGACAGCATGGGAGAGTGACGTCTTCACAGAACTTCGGCCTGACCTGGTTTCCACGCTAACACCAGGTGATATACGTCGCCAGTGTGAGGCTAAGAAGTTGATTACGCGTGCACAGCGTCAGCTATTTGCATCAAACACTGGCCGTGCAGCGCAGAATGAGGAATTGCTCGATGCACTAAGCACTGGTGATGACGTATCCTTCCACACCTTCCTTGAATGCATCCGTAAAGTCGAGCCACCAGCCAGCGCGAGAAGGTTATTGGCCTAGCTGGAACCCGTCGACAAGTTCCGGGCAGCCCGGCAGTACTGCCAAGGCCGCATTAGCGTCTGCAGGAGCATCTGCTGCTGATCCAGTGGGTAAGTAAAGAGCAGTAGGCCGTACAGGCAGAGGCCAGTTGGGAATTTTGCAGCTCCATAGTTTTTTTCGTGGTTTTGGCAGCCCAGCTGGCATCAGGCCAGTCTGAAGGCTTTAAGTAGCTAGCTAGGGGGGGGGGGTGTGCTGGGGACTGCTCTCCCACCACTCTCCTTGAGAGGATAGCGAGAGTGATTGTTTACTCCCCTGGATTTTTCCTACACGAAGGTCTGAATAGGTGTATTTATTCAACGACCATACAATATCCACTATTCGAGTTTCCCGCTCCTTCACCATAGTAATGGAAGCCACTCACGTATAGAAGAGCGCATGCTCCAGTGGTTCTCTAGTTGTTGTTCTGTTCTAGTCTTCTCTGGTCTACTCTCTTGTGAAAATATTTCGTCGGTATAATTATTCAATACTACAAAGCCCCTGTGTTCTGGAAGTGTGAGGGGACTTCGTTTAGCCGGCAGCTAACAATTGCATAAATGTACAATTGTACATGTCACACAGCCAGCAAGACTAACTAACTGCATCAGTAGCATTCTAAACCCGTTGGAAGTCAGTGGAAAATATGCCAGTTTGGATGTTCTGTAGCCAACACACAAACTTGCTTGCCACCAGATCCAGCCATACAAACCTCCTTCGGTCATAGACATTCCACTGTATCCAATAACTCACAACCTTTCCCCTAAAAAATCTTACGATTTTCCACTTGAAGACAATTAGTCAGTAGTCACCCTACGGGCCGACCTACAGACGTGTGTTTCATTACAGCAGGCCCCCGAAATGTTCAGTCCACTATGTATCTTTCATCCATTTCTTGATGTTGTCAAATGCACCTCGTGTTGGGGCTCCTGTAAGGACAACAGCCTGCCTGAGTCACGCTGAATATTTCTTACCTAACGATTGCAAGATATGACGCGGCTTTCAAATAGACATGGCCGTAAATAATCCCAAGCCAGTCAAGTACTCTGTTTCCAAGGACGTAACGCTGTCAAATAGATGACTACTGCAGGGTCTGGTATTCAATCTTATATCAACATATTTATTAGTTCTATCAAAGAGGTTAACAGCAGCATTCAATAGATTTCTCATCCACTAACACACCATGACTGACCTGATAGATTTATCATACACTAACACGTCATGACTGACCTGTAGAGATTTCTCAACCACTAACACACCATGACTACGCTTTCAAGCCGAACTCGATACGTCGCCAGAGCACACCATCGGGAAAGCAACACATGGTACTGAATCACTTCATATAGCTGTTTCGAGAGTAAAACTCTTGCCAGTGAAGAAGGTAGATAATGTAGAGTGGATAAGATCGTAGAGTGGATAAGTTTGCAGAGTGGATAAGATATTGAAAGGTTGCATGTTCAGCACAAGCTTACCGCTGGGTTGGCGCCAAACCACACAATCAAAATCCCTTGATCTGGTCGCAGGATTTGGACATCGGCGAGTTCCCCATCGTTGCTCCCGAGTCCCAAGACGACATGCACGGCAGACCAGCATTGCTATCAAGAACAGGCTGAATAGCATCATGCCACCGAGTGCTAGTTGGGTAGTGCCGAAATCCGCCGTCAGCTTGTCACCAGGTCCTGTCCACCAGTTTCTTGCTGTTTCGTTGCCCACACGCAAGCACAAATTCATGTAATGGATGCAATCCGGAATGACATAATGCAATTTAGAATAACATCACAAAATTCTATGATTACATCATTCAGTAACATCTTGTTGGGCACACACCCATACAAACAGAACCTTTTTTCAGGAAGTGGAGTATTGCCGTCCCCTTAGGGTGAAATCTACCATAACTATAATCATCCCCTCTCCCCTCGACCCCCCCACCCCACACCCCACACTAAAACTTACACACCCGAACATGCACCCTTTCCGAACTGTGTTATAAGAAAAGCAATAAGTCCTGCCTGTCCTAGGCAGAAGAAGTATGTGAGAAGACAAGACTGCAGCTCTAGCTCAGACTGCATGTCTAGCTCAGACTGCATGTCTAGCTCAGACTGCATGTTTAGCTCAGACTGCATGTTTAGCTCAGACTGCAGGTATAGCTCAGACTGTATGTTTAGCTCAGACTGCAGGTCTAGCTCAGACGGCAGGTATAGCTCAGACGGTATGTTTAGCTCAGACTGCAGGTTTAGCTCCCTGTCCCTGTAGATACCATTAACTCCGAGGAGAGTGAGTAGGACGACCCAGTGATGACGACCAGTGTTGTCCTGGAATACGCAAAAGAGCCACACTACACGGAAGAGAAGATGGCGAGAGCAAGGCAAGTGACTGTGACGAGGGGCGTAGCTCACACGTCTGTGGCCTGGTGCATCTGGTGACCAAGTGCCACGGCAACCTCATGGTCTCCATATTGCATATTTTGGCTATGAAGTGCCTATGACGGCCATTTGCTGGTGTGGTGACTAGACAGAAGCTCCGCGTCTGGTGAATACAGACAAAGCATCATCGACTGCTGCTAACACTATAGACCCTGATGCTTGCTTGGAGGACTGCTGGCCACCTGCCAATAGTGTTGCTGCAACCTTACCTTACGAATGTAGTGCGTGTGTGCTGCAAGTATTATGGAAGCACTCTATTTTCTGCAAAGCACGTCCCGAATCAGCAAAAATCGGAAAGTCTGGCAGTGAGTGGATAGGACCACGTCATAAGCTGACGGCGGATGTCGGCGAAATCCAACTGGCTCTCTGTGACATTGTGTCAGTCACACAATTTGACAAAGGCTCAACCAGCATACGTTGTACAGTACAATGCACGGTTATCAGGACACAATCTATCCGACGGCCGTATCAGCCGTGTGAGCAATTTGAAACCCGTAAATGAAAATAGTGTACTGCTGTCGTCGACGTCGTGACTATTTCCAAGCAAAGACTGGCTCTCAATGCAAAGATATACTGGTAACCAGTAGAATGTCTTGTACACTCTGTCAAAGTAATTCAGTTGGGAGCATGCTGCTGTTGCACTGAAATGTACATTGGTATGTGACAGTAACAGTATGAAGACTTCCTCTCCTGTTCACAACTGCAGCTCCTACTGTTATGCAGCATACCGACAGTGGATAGGGCTGGTAGTTGTAAGACCTGGTTGAGGTGTTGGATATCGAACATTGTAATGTGCAGTTTCTACTGGAAGGTGTAAGTACCATTGACGCTGAAGGTGAATCACCTCCATTTTGTTATTGTTTAATACTGTCATCATCCTAATCTACCAATACATACATGCGACGTCCTCCCTCACTAGTGGATAATCTCTGGGCCATCGAAAAAGTTATGTTATAACGAGACTTATTTTGTAGCAGTACTGGCATCTAGAGATATAAAAAGCCCTCAATACAACATTAATTAATTATTGCAACTCGTTATTAGATAACCAAACATATCCAAAGATATCTACGGATACACATATAGAATGTGTTACATCTTATTGCTTTATCAGCTTTGTGTTTTCACCTTGGTCCTGCTTGGACAAAATTATCTGAAACTGAGGGTTTGGCACTCCAGGGATTTGGGCCAAGGGTCGCTACAAGGAATTTTTTGCGCTGACTAATTATCTCGTAACCGGACCTGGAAACAGTTGCATAGACCACGCTTCGCCAGGGGATATGAGATTTCTATTCACTAAAAGGGTTTATGCACTAACCGCACTCATTGTATCGAGGAACGGTCTGTTCATGTTTATGGCTCGAAATAAGCCCAAACTACAGTGGTGGCCAAGAAAACCCGACACGCGAGTCGAAAGCAGCACCAATGCTCATGCGCCCCTTAAGGTCCTCGCATGGGTAGTTGGATTGTGCAGGATGTAATTGAAAACGAAAAGTGACACCACTTTTGATAGGGGTCAGATTTTTTACCACGATTGCTTATGGAACATTTTGACATGCTCATCTCATTCCCCATTAGGATACCTCAACGCAAAAACTCAAAATGTGGTATCAAACGTCATCAAATTTTCGGGCTTGGCCCATACAGGAAAGTTTGTTTTATCTCTATTTCCAGCCTAAGAATGGGCCATGACCGAACATTTGTTGAAAGGCTGATGACGTATGCAGCAAAGAGACCATATTTTGATTGTTTGTGTTCAGGTATCCTAATGTGTAATGTGTAAACGGCTGTAGTGGGGTCTGTGAGTGATCAGAAAAATGTACAATATCATCAGAAACTACTCCACCTTGGGTTGTTAGCGGGTTCTCCGTTGGGTTGGATGGACTGGGTGGACTGGACGAGGTCTCCGCTGTGTTTGAGGGGCTGGATGGCCTGGGCCAGATCCCATCAACATTTCCATCGACGTAAAGCCACAAGCTAGGTCCAAAGGTGAATTGCTCGTTTACTGCGTTGACGTATATATCGTACGATTGTCCCGCACAGAGGCGACTAACAATCAAAGGTAGACTGCTGCTCTCATTCACATCTTAACAGGGCAAAACACAGAGCACATGACAAAGAGAGCATGGAGTGAGCATGACATCATACAAAATGACCTCATAACGTTTAAAAGATTCTGTGCAAGTAGAACCCATGACTTCTTAATGCGGAGGTTTAGCATCATGAATTTTGCGTTCAAGTTCGCCAACATTTTTCGGTTCACAAAACTGGATTGCGAACTTTCGCATTTTTTATTCGGAAAAGTAGTCAAAACACGAATCCCAGATTCGTGTCAAGAGCATAAATTTTCTACTCTCTACTGTATATACACAATCATGTCCAATCGTGTACAACAGGTGTTTGTGTGCGTCGTGCATGTGAGAATTCAGTTTCCTAATCCTTCTCATTCCTTCACCGTGTTCGACTTTCCTTGGAGTGCGAACATGAATGCGAATTTCGTCTTGCTAAACCTCTGTAATGACATTACTATGCATGGTACATTACTATGCATGGTGGCCACAATGGAGTGTATAGTAGTGACTCAACTCCCTTGCACCCAGACACCGATACTCTGGAAACAAGTTTCTATGCTTCCATGCTTTTCGGCGTGTCCAGGCTAAATTTTAGAATATTACATCAAGTGTATTGCTTTATCACAGAGAGGAGATGTATGCGCGCTTAGTCCTGGTTCCAAATTTCCATAAGACAGAGCACTGCGCTCAGCGCCTTTCCAGGGGATGAATTTTGGCTGTTCTCGTCGGGTCGCAGCGTCGCAGACTATTCCATCGTCTTCAGCATCAGAAAACTAATGGCCATGTGAAATTACAAGACTGTGAGATACTCTCGTCTTCCTCTATGAGCGAATTTGTTCTGCGCCAGTATACCAAAGTATGCAATATCGTACGCACTGTTTGAGTGACGAGGCATGTGAACTGTATCCTGTACTGCATGCACTGACTGTGCGGTCGTCTTGAAATTCTCCATCCTCCCATCACTCCCATTCATTTCTGTTTCTAGGCAGAATCCAAATTGGCGCGCTTAAATCACTATAACTCAAGGCTGGGCGGGTTTGAATACTACTTGCATATTGCCTATTCTATGCTCTGGAGAATCCGATGAGAGCAAAATCGAAGCGATGGGATAGTCCACACAGACCGGCAACAAGCTTCAGTGTTGTCAATAGTGTAACCACATGATGGATTACTTTGCAAAAAAATGCTGCACAACAATTCTTTTTTGAAACTAATCTAAACGTTACTACACGTTTCTTCTGCTTGCAAAGATCAGGCTTGTACAAACGGATACAAACAGCCTCAAGCACTTTCAACAGACTAGCATACCGTGCAGGGCACATTACAGAACTAAAATCATCATAAACCTGCAAACACTAAGGGTGACACAACAAATAAATGGATGTCAAGCACGGGCAAAGATAATGTGAACACAAGATTTAGCAACAGGAACAACGGTATCAATTTACGCTCAATATCAAAGGAGGAGTCAACGAACAAAGTCAAGCAACATGAAGCGAGTATGGGAGTGATCGACATTGATGAGGAGCATGACTCAGGAGATGCCATGGGAGATGAGTTCGGAGATGAGACGGAGGACGAGGATGCGGTTGAGGGAGAGGAAGAATCGGATGGGGGATTGTGATCACAAGAAGTCTTCTGTTTTTTCTACATTTGTTGTCGCACCGTAAATGTCTGCAGGTTTATGACGATTTTAATTTTTCTGTTCTGTGTCGTGCACGGTATGCTAGTCAGTTTAACGTGCTCTAGGCTGTTTTTATCCGTTTGAACAATTCTATTTCCCCCAGATTTTCCTCAGTATTATCTATACTGGAGAATAAGCCCCACCAAGACTTTCTTTATACAAAAGACCTTCCCTTTTACTAGTCGTTTTTACATTTACCACATTTACCACATTTACCACCACCGACTGACCATCGTAATATAAGCCGCATTGACTTTCCTGGGCTGAATAACTCGCATACACAAGGTCTACAACTTTTTCACATTTGGAAATGTCAACTATCGAGCTGGCAAAGGGAAGTAGTAATATTATTATGTTCATTCAGAGCAACACTCTACTTTCAATGAAGAAGACCACACCGACCAAAACAAAGGTATGCTTATAGAAAACTGGCAAGGTGCATGTTGGTAAGTGTACCTACACAGCTGGGCTTGCCGGCGTTTGCAATCACGTGACAAAATATAATATTATATTGTTTAAGCGCTAGAGGAGTTTGTTTGTTGTGAGGAATAGGAAAAATCAAAAAAGTGCCCCAAACACCTATTTCAAATTATAATTTGAACTACAAAATGACAATTTTCGCACAGTCTGACACACAGACAAACCTGGTGGCTTTTGTGGAGGAGCACAATACCAAAGAACTAGAGATGATGACACAGACTTGAGCATGTCAACGACATCAGTTCCAAGTCATTGACCAATTACTTCATGGAAAGCACCATGATGCTCTGCATACTCTTTCGATTCTGGCAGTGACACTTTTGATCGTCACCTGCGCTTCCGAGACTGTGGCAGACGACTCCTATAATGAGAGCTGAACGGTACGTAACATCGTAAGGCAGTTCATCGCCTAATACAAGCGTACAGAACTTGTGCCTCTTGGCTACAGAGGACAAGGGGGCGATTATGCTTCGCTGACGATATCAACATCCCGCAAATTTTCATCGTCGCTCTGCAGACCCGTCGCCACGGACTTGCCGACACCTGACCAACCGTGCGCCATGCACAGTACGATCGTCTGGCCCAGCGAGCTGCTCTAGTGTCACTAGATACGAACATTGTCCATCTTTGCTCTCCAACCACTTGACTACGCTGCCAAACAAGTGTTTGAAAAAAGTTTGGGAAGATGATCACCACCAGTTCATGAATGAAGCACAGCTTGAACCCGCTAGATAAAACATTGTTTAACCCTTTATTACCGGATTACTTGCACAGCATGCACCAGAATTACGAATTTCAGCGCAATTTCCAACTTCACCAGGTCATAGCTTTGGCCTCCTTCACTTGATTTTCACAATCTAGGGCTGGTTGGAAAGCTCTTGGCGAGAGCAACGGCAGGGTACCAAGCTCCATTATCCAGTCGCCACAGACCAGGCGCGGTAACATAGCAAAGTCGTCTCCAAGCCTGATATGCAAGCAAATTCGTCCCATCAACGCCATTCCACTCTCCTTAATCACAGAAGGCTCAAATTTGTTCGAGACGATACAAACTTCCGCTGACTACGTCATTATCAAGTGCTTAGTCGCTCAAAGAGCACACGAAAAGGGATTTCCCAAAAATGGCGAAGTGATCGATCAAAAATTTGAATTTGCCGAGGTGAGAATACGGCGCGCGACATCTCTGGTGTCTAACATTGTAACTCTTCGGCGATTGTTGCATTGTATAGCTTGGAGTTACCACTACCAAATAGACCTTTCGGTTGTTGAATTCGCGCAAAAAATGATGAAGTTACGAAGATATTACTGGCATGCAGGTAACAAAGGGTTAATTCCGTCATTTCTAAACTTTTTTTACGAAACCTCAGTGCAGTGGCCGCACTTGAACATACCTGGCTTTCGCTCGGTTGGAGGAGTTCTGGCAGGTGCATGTGTACCTAGGTGGTTAGAAATCCTAGAGCAGACACTGCATATGGGTACCAAGTACTTACATTGCCAGTAGAGGAAGCCCAGTAGAGCGCAACTGTTAACTCTAGGCCTGGTGCAATTCCATCGTTTGTTACCCCTGCATTCCGCACTGGAGTAATAGATATAAATTTCCGCTACTCGATCTTCTGGCTTTGGAGCCTGTGAACATCACCCAGGACACAGGAAGTAAAAACATGCAGAACAAATGTCTATATCACAGCGCAACTTGTAGCTCTTTGGTCTTCTTTTCTTCTTACACTTGGTCCGCCAAGTTAGTACAATTGGTGCTTATCTTCGCACTTGATTTTTCTGTGTTTTACCTGTGTCATACTGCATGGAACCACTGATTCACCATCCGAACATAACGATAGACGATTGCATCCGACAACATGGCAGCACAAACCATCACAGAAGTTGTGATCGTTTTTCGTTTGAATCTTTTTGATTGGAGCTGCCACCGACGAACACTTCTGTCAGCGCAATGAAATTCTGCAACCTCAGCTCCAGTCTAAAAAATCGGTCACAATATTCACACTTCAGAGCGATGGCGAGTACAGTTTTGCTTACTACTAGCTGGCTGGTGGCAAGGATGGTTTTCTGCAGGGAGGTATAGAAAAGCTGAAAAGCACTTAGCGAGCTTGAATTGGAGTGCTCCCCCAAGAACAGCGCCTAGTGAAGAGTTATCGCTAGCAAATCACTGACGAAGAAAGAACAGCTCATGTCGACATCTCCAGAAACCGAGACGAATCCGGTCGACACTCTGAAGCTCACAGAGGACCGGGAAATGGAGCTGATAAAAATATACACCAACTCCTGAGGGAAATTCTCGTGCAAATGACTTGCAGGAAACTCGCAGAAAAGAGTTACGCCTGCTCCAGAGTCAGTGTGACACTGTCACTGTTCGCTATGTCCAGCATGCACAGGTGCCACATCAAGCAGAAGCTATCCCTGCTCTACAAGCACGAGCCTGGCTGCTGATCAGCAATTATGACAAGTGCAAGAGGCGATTTGAAAAACTGGCATGTTGTGGTGTTACCTTTCCGCCTCAAACAAAGGCATCATTGCGACCAACGGGGATAACACATGCAGCCACAACACGAGCAGTCTCACTCAGCTTCTGGGCGGCAAGATGACACAGTCACGGCAGGTGACTGCCTGTGAGCGCGATTCGAGACGAGGAGAAGTGGAACAAGATATGAAATGCGCAGCAGCAACTGTTCGGATCGAATATTCCGAGCTCTTCCTCCAGCGACTATAGTGAGGAGGACGAGTGGGTTTCTAGGATTTTTGGCCGAGTTGCTTACTGGCATGTAAAATGTCATGTACATACATAGTGTTTTCCGATCGTGGCATGCTTCAATTATTTGCATTTTCTTCTCGAGATAAGAGTGAAGATAAGCGCCAATTTTAACTTTGGTGGACTAAGCAAATTAATCCTTGGCTCAGTCCTGCCAAATCTAAATGTTTAGCAGCGAATTCACTTGAGGGAAACCCGCCATACTTTGTACAATTTCATGAACAATCCGCAGCATAGAAAAGTAGTAAATTGTCCGTCACAGTCAATAATGCCCTGGGAACAAAACATTTGTCTACAGAGGATGGATAGACCAACACTTTAGTATCGAGTTGATACTATCATATTGCAATCCATACACTGGCATCTGCAGAATATTCCACGATATGAATGGCGAGCAAAAGTACTTCCTCCGGAAACAAAAAACTATGTGACTTTTTTCAATAATTTTTGCTGCTGTTCGGTTGCTCTCTGAGTGGCTCTGTCGGCCTAAAACACTAACAGATGACATTTCCGAACCTTGGAGAGGCATGATTCACATTCTGGAAAGCCGAAAGTCATCGCAAGGCAAAGGTGTCCTGCTGTAATCCAAGCGAAGCGAGGATGTTTTGCATTACGGTTCGCCAGTTACATTGCCAACAAAAACACTGCTCACTGCTCGTCCTTGCTATTTTTTGGTTCAGAACGAGAAAAAGCAGGACAATGGCACTGAGGAGCAAGAAGAGTGTGCAAGGGATAGCAGCTTGTGTTTTTGAAATCTGCACCAACCCCAAAATCATCAACCAAAGTGAGAACAGTTCGGCAAGATGTCAAAACTCCATAAGCAAAGATGAAGTGACATCACTTTGCGCAGCGCAGCAAAGCTAAAATGTTCAAAATCGAATCGTCGTTCAGTGGAGGAGCTTGCCTTTTTCAGCAGCCTCCACTCCAATGTCTCTTTGGTTCCAAAGGAGAACAGGCGAGATCTCCTCGCAGCAGTTGCGCCATGAAGGGACGACTACAACGCGGAGAAAATGCGAATTGTTTGGCTTTGCCCGTACCAGTCGTTCCGGGGCATTCTCGAGAGGCAAGCCAACACCAGAGTACAAGTCATCGCGGTCTTCACCTAGATGCTAGGGAAGGCAATGGTGTAAATCACGTACTGGTAACAGCGATGGCGATCAGGGATGCCGAGAAGCTGCTCCGTGACATGCGAGAATGCGTCGATCGACCTGCCACTTTGGTTGGTTTCCCGCCGTGATGAATCGAGTGATGGTGACTCGGGCCGAGACTCTATTCCCATCCATCGACCTCGTAGATATTGTACACATGGCCAATGAGCGTGTTGAAGTGTTTCTCTTCCAATAGAAGACTTTTGTCGAGCGCAATAACTCCTTGAAAAGTCATGTCAGAAAGTCACGAAGTTTTTGTTTCCGAAGGAAGTTGCGGACTAAAGAGTGCAGCATATTTCCTCTATTATTATAGCACAGAAACCCCTAAGCACACCTACGAGGATCACACTATACCATGGTCATGAAAGAAGAATGTCACGAAATATTCCCACCTTGACATTGATTGCCGCTAAAGCTGAGCTCAGGCGGACAGAGTTGATCACCTTCGGTCGGCTTGGTTGATCTGCTCAGACAGCATCATCAAAAAACCATCACATTGCGCAAAGGCCTGATGATCAGAAACGTCAAATTCGTGAGCACATAGTTTCAAGGCATGGGGGGGGGGGGGAGACGCCACAAGACTCTACCATACAAAGATTAGCGAACAATGCACTGATTCCGATGGTGCAGGTCCGAGGTGGATCGGTCCAGCCGTTCCCGAGTTATACCAGCTTGAAGTTTACACTAAATATGGTGGCTTCATGATGACATCATTAACTCGCCCACCGATGCCCAGACTGGATTTATGACGTCAGAGAGATGTTAAATAGTATGGGAGTAGATGGTGAAATTTCAGTAGTTGGCTCTCCATTGTCCCAAAGAAGTCGGATGTTTTTTCAAACTAACTCGCCCAGACCGGATTTATGATGTCAAAGAGATAGACGTGGTATAGGAGTAGATGGTGAAATTTCAGTATTTGGCTCTCCATTGGCCCAAAGAAGCCGGATGTTTTTTAACTCGCCCAGACCGGATGTATGACGTCAAAGAGATAGACGTAGTATGGGAGTAGATGGGGAAATTTCAGTATTTTGGCTCTCCATTGTCACAAAGAAGTTGGATGTTTTTTAAATTTCGGTATGGGACATATGGCACCCTACCAGTATCCGGAAAGGAAAAAAATTATCTAGTATGAAATTGATTGTTCCAAAGTCTAAGGCTGCGCGAATCAGCACACATTAGGCAGTACGCTGCGCGGTTATCAGTACACTATCTATCCAACAGCCGTATCGAAAGTGTGAGCAATTTGAAATCAGTAAGAGAAAAATAGTGTAATGTCGTCGTTGATGTCTTGGAGACATTTCCCATCAACTACTGTCTTTGAATGCAAACATATAACCACTGTAATGTATTGTATACTCAGTCAGTCAAAGTTGTGTTGCAGTGCGCTGCTGTTGCACTGAAATGTGTGTTGGCATGTGAGACTAACAAAAGCAAGATTTACTGTCCAATTGACCACTGCGGCCCGCCCCATATGCAGCATACCATCAAAACATTGGGCTGCTAGTTGGAGTTGGATATCGAACACCATCATGTTCAGTTTCTAGCAGAAGGCGCAAGTACCACTGACGCTGAAGGTTGATCACCTCTGTAGTTAGTCATTGTGTTATTGTGCGTTGATCCTAATCTACATACATAATTATATGTGTCGGACTACGGGTCAAACTAAAATCTTGGCGAAGGAAATCCAACACACAAGCAGCACCAATGCTCATGAGATCTCTCAGGCCCTCGCATGGGTAATTGGATTGTAAATGGTATAACTAAAATGGAAACGTGCCGTCTCTTTTGATAGGGGGTCAGATTTGTTCAGCCACGATTCAGAAAGAATTTTGACATGTTCCATCTCATTCCCCATTAGGATACCTCAACGCAAACACGCAAAACACTGTCTCTATGCTGCACACGTCATCAACCTTTGGGCATCGCCCATATTGTGAAGTTTTTTTTCTCTGTTTTTAGCCTGAGAATGGGCCATGCTCGAACATTTGTTGAAAGCTTGATGACGTATGCAGCAAAGAGACCTTTATTAATTTGTTTTGATAGTTTGTTGAGATATTCTAATGTATAATCTGTAAACGGCTGCATTGGGGTCTGTGAGTGATTAGAAAAATGTACAATATCATCACAAACTACTCCACCTAGAATGATTAGCGGTTTCTCCGTTGTGTTCGAGGGGCTGGATGGACTCGATGAGGTCTCCGTTGTGTTCGAGGGGCTGGATGGCCTTGACGAGGTCTTCGTTGGACTTGAGGTGCTGGATGGACTGGACGAGGTCCCATTATTAGATCTGCTACCATTGGCGGCAAGCTGCGTATACGAGTATAGTCCGTAGCCTTTGTCGTTAATTGCGCGGATGTGAATCCTGTACGCTTTTCCCGCACAGAGGTCACTCAAAGTCACAGGTAGACTGCTGCTCTCATTCACATCTTAACAGGGCATAACACAGCGCACATAACAAAGAGAGCATGGAGTAGGCATGACATCATAATGATGTCATCAGAACTATGATGGAGCAAAACATTTGCTACTTCGTTGTTTGACATGGGCGCATGTTTGATTTTGTTTATTTCTTTGACCTAGTAATAAATCTGGAAGTCCACGGAGACCAGCAACAAGATTCAATGTTAATATGGGTTGCTTTCAAAATGGCGATCAACCATTTTCAATATAACCCTGTATTTTCCTCAGTATTCACTGTTTTGGACGATATGTCGTCCACAGACCGTTCACGAAGTACTTACACCATTTACCAACCCTTAACATTAACCACAGTTACCAACGACCATCGTGATAAATCTGCGGGAATTTCCGGAAAATTCCTGATGCTTACGCAAGAAATTGGGGTAGAAAACAGCAAAGAAAAAGCGGCGACAATTGTGGAACTTGCTATGAATTCGTGGAATTCTTTGGAGGAAATTGGGGATTGGGCAAATCACGAAAATTGCTGCATTCTGAGAATCGCTATTTGCGCCATTGATCTACGCGGGAGTAGTAGGAACGAGGGAAATCGCGGATTTTGAGGAAAAATGCGGGTTTGGGCCAGGATCGCAAAATTTGCTGCATCCGTGGAATCGCGGTTTCCTTGATGGACTGTCTTACATCGGTGTTTGAAGGCAGGCTCAGTGAGTCTGGTCTACTCTGTGTCGTCAGGATCTTCATTACCTTTCTCTTTCCTAGCTGAAGTGCATTCTATGCGCCAAGCCATTTGTAACTACCATATTGCTTCATTTGCTCTGATATGGATCAAAAGGGGATGCTCCGATGGGCAATAGCATGAAGGACCGTCCGTAAGAACGTGTATTTACTCAGAGACGCCTAAGAGGTATTTCTTTCTTGACCCACAAACTCATCCCCAGAAACTCCCCCCAAAAATGCAGATAAAACCACTCATAATAATCACTATACTATGCACATAGTATCCAGTGCAGACGACTCTACTTATATCAAACTTGCCGCATATAGCAAATTTTGTCATAATTATAGCGAACCCTTGTCCATGTCCCTGGTGAATGCACACAAAATTGACCCTTTTTACCTGCCACCCTGGCCACTCTGCCCTGACCCATGCAGTGCAGTGTAGACTGTAGTGCGTCTCATACATGTAATATTATTATTATTATTTTGAGTCACCTCCACCATTACACTGCGCTCTTTAGCCGACTAGACCCTCCTGCACACAACCATCACCATTGCGAGGACACTTCCGTAGACGATATTGATAAACTCCTTCAGACAGCTGTTTCGCTAATACATAGCTCATCAGTGAAGGTAGATGTTGAATGATTAAAATATAGACCAAACTGCTAGTGACCCGATTTTCTTTGTCCAAACGGGTCCAAGTACTTGGACCCGTTTAGACAAAGAAAATCGGGTCACTTGTGACCCTGTGGGGACTGAATATGTTACATAATATCAGGAAGTTCAAAAACATTGATCGCTCCCATATGTACATGTTTATGCGGTAACCGCACTTGGACGTAGCTGGCTTTGACCCTTTTGGAGGAGGTGTGCCAGGTACGCATGTACGAGGCTGATTGGAAATTCCAGAGCGGACATTGCATAGGAGTACCCTAGTACTTACATCGCCAGAAGAATGTGCCAATTACAGTACAATTGGCAACTCTAGGCCTGCTGCAAACCCATCGGCCTTCACCCCCACATTCCTCACTGGTGTAGGAGCAATGATATTCGTGTACTCGCTCTTCTTGCTTTGGAGCCTGTAAACACCAAACAAGACACAGGAAGCAAACATGTGCAAACAAATGTTTACAGGCTAGTTCACTAGTAATTCACAGAAAAAGGTCTTTTACAAGCTAAGCTGCTTATCACTTGGAAACATTGGTCAACACTCGAATTTTGGCATTACTCTAATGCAAACTTGTCACACTTTGTATAATTTCATGAACAATCCGCAGCATTGGAGTTGTCCAAGGCGACCCACTTTCCCCGATAATGTATATCATGTATGTTGAAGGAGCTATGCGTAAAGTTGATTTGATTTCCTTGCCTTCAGTTCTACCCTGTCCACACTCTCAGTCCGCAGACGACACCACCCTTCATGCCACTGAGAAAGAAACAACAATTACGGCCCTCCTACCTTAGTGCGAAAACGTTTTCGCCGAAGGCAACCTTAAACTTAACCTTGAGAAAACCCACACATTTACCGCGCCCAAGGCTGACCCGGAGTGGAAATCAGTGAAGCTCTTGGGCTCTTTGCTAGGGTCAGCTGAGGACGTGGACTCTAGAATAAATGCAGCAAACCGTGCTTTCGGTTCAATTGCTTGGGACTATCACAGTATTGAATCTCGTGGATGTATAGTTAAAGTTCTGATTTTGCCTGCACTCTTGTACAACTGTGGCCTCTGGACACTAACGAAGAAGCTGGAGGATCGACTGGATGCGTAGCATCGTCGCAAGCTGCGATATATCATGAACATTGTCCACCCTCACCACATATCCAACAAGACGATTTACCGAAAGACCAACCAAGCCCCGAACTCGCAAACATGTAAAGAGCGCCGCTTCCTGTGGCTGGGGCACGTTGCCCGGGAAGGACGAGACGCGGCCTCTTACAAGGCAATGCAGCTAGTCCTCAATACTTCGGACATCAACCGCCCCCGTGGACGACCCCACAAGAGATGGGCGGACAACATACCTCGAACCTCTGAATGTGCCGATTCAGGAATGCCTCAACCTCGCCACCAACAAGCAACTCTGGTTAACGATCATTGACAGATGCATGACCCCTGTATGATTTATTTTATGCGGGCAATATGCGACCTGTTCATAATAACATTATTATTCGCAGCATAGAGAAGTAGTAAATTATCCCGCATTCTGTAGATTGAGAAACTTTCATTAGAGATTAAATCATCGTCGCCATTTGCGCGACAATCACACATTCGCGAATATAAATCGTCGCGAACTGCTCTATACCTTGATTGTAGACAGTACAAGATGCAACTGAGGGAGATGACGCTCGTGTCATTGTCAACGGACGACGCTGCCTCCGCTCGCATTTCGTTCAGCTTCTTTTCAGTGGCAGTGATGATCCGATGCGCCACTTTGGCTACGTCCTCTTCATCTCCAGAGCTGTATACGAATCGTTGTCTAATATTCAGTCGTTTCAGCCCGCGACCTCCACTACGCCGTAAAACGAGTCGTACAAGCACACCCTATGCTTCGTATTTTGTCAGCAGGATACTGGTCCCAGCATTCTACAATGGGTTCGAGGAGGTCCCTGCGATTCCCCTTCGCAACAGAGACATCTGACTGTAGAAATGCGAAGATAGCCAGGTTGTCGACATTCCGGTCTGGAGTCTGCGCTGGTTGCCATACGACTGAAATTTTTATTCTTGCCATGCGAGCGGAACAGCTTTGTGTTCTCAATCTGCAGGCCGCGCACAGTAAGTAGACCTACGAACCTGTCTATCCTCAGGGCAGCGAATGTCGCGCAACTCTGTGCTCCAGCCGCAAGCTCTACTTCGTCACTGTGTCAGTTTCGAGCAAGTAAGTGCTAGTTTTGTTTTCAATTGACTCGTGAGTTCCTGTCAGCAACGTCGCATGGCTTCCGTGGAGAATCTGATCGTGATCAACCGAACTTACCTCGACATGAATGGGGGTTTCGACAGCCTTTGGCACAGTTCGTTGAGCAGGTTCTTGCTCAGAAACAATGTTGAAAAATGTCACGAAGTTTTTGTATACGGAGGAAGTATATACAGTCAGAAAGTGCAACAACTAGGCCCAACATGACAGAGTACTGAGACATTCGACAATCTGACACCTAGCTCTCAAACATGTCCGAAGCGCCAACCAACAGCCTTCCAAATTCGGAAGGTTCTATATCTCAGTACTCTTCACATCTTGTGCCTAGTTGTTGCACTTTCCGACTGTATATGATATCTAGGTACAGTGGTGGACAGTTACTCTGAACTCGTAACCATATGTTCCTTTTTATCTTTCCTTTCTCTATATATTATTGTCTCAACATCTGAGTTTCAGATCACACTGAAGTCGGATTAAGCTTAACAGCCATCTGTGATAATTTAAGGCGTGCCATGTTCTTTGTCAAAACTGTCCAACACAGCCACGCATGAACGTGAAACGCACGGGAATTCGCGATCGCAGTGGCAATGCCTGAGGGTCATGCCAAGCAAAGCTCAGAATAGCAACAGAACTGCCGCTCTTCATAATTCCGGTTGCATTGTCTGATGGACACAAGATGTTGTGAGACTTAGAGATGCTATAGAAGTCCCAGTCTGCTTGTTGTTGCATGCCCATATCAACCTATCGAGTTAACTATTGCAGCTGATCAGTCCACATCCGTGCAACTGCAATTTGCAATAGAACAGAACTGCCAGCCATGGTAACTAGAGCGGACAACATTAAAGAGGGAGAGAGAGAGAGCTCTGAACCCGTGAGCGCCGGGAGTGCAAGATGTCTCCTCTAGTTTTCCATACAGCACAGAATCCCCTATTCGCACCATCACGTTATATTATGGTCATGCATCAATAATTGCGTTGAAAATATTCTTACCTTGAAATTGATTGTCGCTGAAGTTGAGTTTAGGCGGACCACGAAGAGATCCTCTGGTGCGCTTGGTGGACCTGCTCAGACAGAATCATCACAAAACATCACATGGTGCATAGCCCAGGACACGATGGTCAGAAACGTCACATTGTGGCTACTCATTCGTGTCTAAAGGCCGATTCATACTCCATTTTACGTACGGGAACGAGTCGCGTCACGAAAAGGTGGATCTGAGCTCAACTATTTCGCGTATGGGAAAGCCGTAGCACGACGGTCGCGCGATAGCTTTCCCTTACGCGAAATGAAGTATGAATCGGCCTTAAGAAAAACTGCATATCACACAAGATTGTTGTCCTTTCGGGTTGCTAGAGTTTTTCGTCAATCTTTCCACAGATGGTCTCATGTTATAGTCAGCACTGTTTACATAAGATCAAGAAGACAGAACTCAACAAAGTACAATAAATCACCCAGAGCATGATACTATTGGGTCTACGATAGAAAAATTCACATACTGTAAAGAAAAAATCTCCGCGGCGTGCACATTTCACGATTTCAATAACGTTGCTTGATCATGAGAAACTTTCACAATTTCATCTATTCTGTGTTATTTTGTATTGTCTACAATCGATGTATAGAGCATTTTGCGTCGATCTATATTCGCGAATATGTGATGGTCACGAAAATTATTATTATTATTATTACTTGCATGTACGCGTTGGAGTCAACAATGCAAGCATGATTCACAACTTCGCTTATGCTAAACATGATAAACAGAACTATGACAGGGAAAAATTTAGCTAGAACGATGATATAATTATGATAATTATATCATAATTTATCACTCTTCTATATCGACCTCCACTAATTCTCGTGATCCTTGACTGGTCCTATATTACCCATATCGCTGCAATATCGACCGCTTTTATCGACCGCTTGTATCGACCACTTAGGCATTGTAATCTTTCGACTTTGGAGGGACAGAATTTTCTCTCCACTTCAAAAAGAAAAATTGAAAGAAAGAAGACAAAGGAAAAGAACAAGCAGGATTTGAACTCACAACAGTATGAACCTCAAGCAACCCCTTTTACCACCCAGCTACTGTGCTGCAGATGCTGAACCCTGTTGTTCTTACAGTCTTGTACCCGAAATAGGCAACATCCTATGTACACTATAGTACAAATGCTATACTAAAAAGGTTACAATAGCTCCTAAAGGTTCAAATTTTGGGGTTATGGCAAGGGAATCGTGATAAATAGGATATTGACCTCGACTTCGGTCTATATGGGAAATATAGGCCTCGTAAAAGACCTCGGCGGACCTCGGTCTTTTACTCGGCCTATATTTCCCATATAGACCTCGTCTTGGTCAATATCCTATACATATACAATGTAGCTCATGGGTATTGTCGCGAAAATCGCGAAATTTAATTTCTAGCAAAAGTTTCCCATGTTACAGTAACATTTCAAACCATTGCACACTGCCTGTACCATTGACACATGTGCATTGGTGTGTGACATCATTCTGCCTTGAATAGAACTCTCCCGTGCTCACATTGCACTGTTTACAAAGCATCCTGTTGAGTGATGTCATATCATGTGTTAAGGATGCAGACAGCTTCACAAACTAGGGGATAATAGTATGTACTCTCGAAATCATTCGACATTATCACCAGTCTGCAGTCGATTTTGTGAAAACGAAAATTTACATATTAAACCTCGCGAACAAAAAAACTTGAGAATAGCGACATATTTCTCATACACAAGCAAGGGCCATTATTCCCAATGTTGTTTGCAGCTTTTGTGATGCACGAACCCAAACTCATTGCCTACACCAACACTCAACATGCGCAACTGAGAAACCAATAAGTATCTAATATTGACTGAGTACGAGGTCAATATAGGAAATAGAAGCCGAGTAAAAGACCGAGGCGAAGCCGAGGTCTTTTACGAGGTTTTTATTTCCTATGCTGACCAAGTACGAAGTTAATATTAGATTTATCACGACAAACAGTCCGTATTTCAAATTCCAGAACGATAACCTCACGAATCCCGGCTTTACGATTGCACAACCGTTGCACCACCACCTACTCATGCAGTGACAATGCTGCACTAGGCACCGTTCAACTGCGCAACCCCCAAGCAGTCAAATATAAGCAGTCAATATAGCCCTAAGGAGTGAAATATGCAGGAATATTTGAATGCTTAGGTATGGCAAAAATCTATGCGAGTCAATACTAAGGAAGTGATAATTATTATTCTTCCCCACACACACAACACCGACGGGCCACACGTCAACATTGTTCCCAAACCCTCTGCACTTTGGTACCACACAAGATGAGGTCAAGTACAGAACGCAAGTAGGGAACCCTGCCAAGATGCCGTCATTAGTACTCACCTAAATATTGCTCATGCCAGCGCACCGTGTCCTGACATCCTGACTCAACACCCATGCCTCCTCCCTGAAACACAGGCACGTCTCGCGTTCACAGGTGGCCGTGCTTTCGCCTCACTGCGCTTCGAATTTACCCACGCAGACTTCAAAACTCGCTCCTGGAACGCGTGATGACTCCGTCCTACTTCCTTCTAGCAATGGACTTCGAAACTGTAGTACAGTATGTTCTTTTGAAGCAGGAACAAATCTTGGAAATCACAATTTCCAGTTCTGCGCTACAATGAAGAACGCAGAAGTAGCAGAAAACCTTGGCTCCTTCTCGTCAGTGGTACTGCTTGGCAAGTGAGGATGACGGAGCCAAACAAGTCCTCTTTTCATTGTACGGAAAGAAAACGCGCGGGCTAGCACTAATAGCTAGTGCGAAAAAGGAACATTCAGAGACAGAAAGTGGCGCATAAACGACGACTGGGGCGATACAATCATTTTCATGCTACTCTCTGACTGTCTGCGACAGCAGACACACGCCGCGCGTGCACAAGACTCTGCAGTGGAACGTTAGGTTAGGAGTGTGAAAATTCGGTAGGTCGAAAATGTGCGAAAATATGTGGTACATGTAGCTAGGTCGACCACTACCGTACACACTAGAACAGTAGAAGTACTGTCATGTCGGCGTGTAGAAAAATAGTCTACTCTAGCAAGGCGTCAGGACGTGTCAGGATATCTGGACGGTGTGATGCCAGAGTGCACAGACACCAACCGCGGTCACACCAAAACTGGCTGAAACGCGGGCAGATGAATCGCAGACTGAAGCAGTGAAGGTCTGCACGCTTGCATACACGGTAGACATACGCTGACTAGCGGAATGGGTTTGCGCGGGAAAGATAAATAATTATTATTATTATTATTACCGGTACTAGTGATTTCGTTCGTTGCCCATGCACAGCCTCTCGTCTGTTGCAAGTTTGGACAACTCTCCGTCAGGTTTTTCTATGTGTTTGACTTGTTTGCTGCTAGGAATGTGGTACGCAAACAACGCTTGGCAATTGTCTTCGCAACCGGTACGCAACTGAATTTCCACCCTCAAACAATGCAAAAACTCAAGAAAAATCCGCCTTCTGGCGTCTTGGCGGAATTCAGCATGGAAATGGCGGAATTTATTTTATTTTATTTATTTTTTTCTGCACCTCGTGGCATGTCAAGACAGCCATTGAGGAGAGGGTGAGACCAACCACGGAAGAAGAGAAAAAAAGAAAAAAATGCTCGGTGTGACCGCGGCCTAACACTGCTGCGTGGCTACGCTGCATGTACTAAGTCACAGTAGGGAGGTTCTGCTCTACGTTTTGGGAACGCGACGCAAAGAATCACGCGAACTTTCTTCGCGTTCCCGTAACGTAAAGCAATGCTGTTCTGCTCTACGTTTCACCTAGAGAAGTCACGTGGAATGTGTACTGGGGATTTCCCCTTCCATATTTGGCAGTTTTCTGCATGCAGTTGATCGATACCCAGCAAATCCGTACGCATTTTCTCTGCGTGTGCCACAACGTAGAGAACCTCATCTCCGCGTAGAAATCTGGAGCCAAAACACGCGAAGCCGTAGACTCTAACCCAGACACCTGCTCTCTACGTGATTTCTCTACGTTTCACGTATAGCAGAACCTCCCTAGTAAGTGCACTGAAAAACTCCAGACCCAAGTACAGGCCCTGACCCTAAGTTAGACCTAACTCCCCAGATTCGGGCAGTCAAGACTAGGCGCTAGCACCCACGCAGTGAGACTGCTAAATCTTGCTGTGTCTGTACAGGGTTGTACACACAATGATCGTGGTATACACCTTCGCACACACATTTCCTGCGCTTCATCTGCTGAGCTGTTGCATACCCCCTCTTTCAGCGCATTTCTCCTTGTCGGTTGTACATGCAAATTCAGACACTCAATTGCATACGGCTATTGTGTGCTTTTTACATACGCTCTCGCTTTCTTTAGTTATAAAAGGCCAGGTTCGCTCCTTGTACATGGTTCTGACGATGGGTGACTGGCCCGGAACGTCAATAATTTTTCAACATCATTGATAAAAGAATTTTCATCTAAAGCAACTAAATTATAAATGGAGCGGTTGTCAGTTGACAAACCCCCTTCTCAAACCCCCTTGTATTTAAAATGCAGTTCCGTGATGTCCACCACTTTCTGAACGGAAATTAATGCAGTTTTATGAAACATCGCTGTAGAGAGAATGCTCCACGGAGAATGAACATTTCCATCAAAAGAGAATTTACTGAGTACCACCAGTAACGTTAGTGCAGTATTTGTTTACCTCGCTCTTGCTCTCCTAGGGCACCAGGACCTGCCAGCAACAGCAGCGTGACAACGACGATTGGTGTAAACATCCACGTGTCCTGCAACAAAACACGTGATAGAAGTGTAGAGGCTACATTGTGTGCGATTGGCCTCCGTACAGTCTTACATGATTAGTGAGGTTTTGCATTCCGAATTTCGGTTCGGCGTTCTTCGGTCATTTGTCGAACATCAAAATGCCGAATTTTCGCACCAACGTTTGTTTTGCAAGTCGAAAATGATGTGTTTTCATTTCGTGAGCCCCAGCATCAGCAATGTCCTGTCCCGTGCTCCTTTTCTTGCTGATTCCAACGAACTTTGATCGCCCAAAGAGTCGAGGGCCAAACCTGCCTCCCCAGTCGCCTCAGAAAAACCAACTCCATGGCCAAGTCAAATTTTATGCGTATCGCCATAGTCTTTTCAGCCACACAGATGACGGTGAGGATACTCCAGGCGAAAGAGAGTAGACAGGCAGTGGAGAGGAGCAATCAGAGGTAGCTAACGATGCTGATGTCGCCAAAGACGGAGGCGAAGCGATGCCGAGATAAGAAACCTCTTTGAATAAATCACGCGCTAGCGCTCTTCTACAAGAAAATTCATCCGAAAAATATTTTCGGCAAAGTGAGCTTTTTCCGAACAAACATGCCGAATCTTCGTGTGCATTTTCGACCTCGCTCCCGCGTGCCGAATCTTTTTGCCGAATTTCGGAATGCAAAACCTCACTATTATCGAGGGTAATACTCGTCAGGCAGGCATAGTGGGTTGGTCTAAGAACATGATTGAGAAACGAGAGGTACCAGGTTCAAGTCCTGCTTGGAACCGGAAGGATTTTTCCAACCGTGCTGCGACCCGCAGTAAATTGGGAACTCCTGGCCTCGCACGAGTATTCGGAGTAAAACTTGGATGTGGCAAGTGGGATTTAGGCCTTTGGCCTCTGGTTGGTGGATCTGGTCTATGCTCCCCCACCATTTTAGCAGCCGCATCTGACGCCTGATCATGGGGTGGTGGCGTCCCACGGAAGCGGAAAGGTGGTTCTTGACCAGGGAGTTGTACAACTCCTTGTTCTTGACCTGCCCGGTACGTGAACCCGTCGATTTTTTTAATGCTCGTAATATCCATGCATGTGTCAGTATCGATTCGTGTACATCAGAATGAGTGTGTGGGTGTGTTTCGGTTGTGTATGTGCATGCAGCAGGCAAGTATGTACTTGCGTCTACGTGTGTGTGTGTGTGTGTGTGTGTGTGTTCTTGAGTGTGTATTTTGAGTCAGTGAGGGGATGATTTGACTGTGTGCGACGCACATGAGTAACAATGAACCCAAGACCTTTGGTCGGAGGAGTTACTTTTAGCCCCGCCCCCACTGCCATCCAATATGCCACTGCCCTACTGTGCAGCATCTGATAGTTCTGTGGTATCCAGTAAAACAAAAAATAAAAATAAACCGTTATCATCAGTTGCCTATGTCTGTGAACATCAAATCACACTGCAAAGTAAGTCCGTTCATGATCACTTGACGTCCCTACTATTTTTGTCTTTTTGTAAGGTACAAGAAGTTCGCGACCTTAACGAGTACCCACTTGATCCAATCAAGAGAGTACATGTAACACCTAAAAAATGGTGACTGGCCCATTGCACGTAAGAACAGAAGTGATCATGAAGTCTGCTCTATCGTGATCACTTCGACCCTTGGGTACGATGTTCCAGACACTTATTTCATCTCCGTCACTGTATCTCTGTCTATGTCTCTCTCTCTCTCTATCTATCTATCTATCTTTATCTATCTATCTATCTATCTATCTATCTATCTATCTATCTGAGATATTTATTCTCTCTCTCTCGCTCTCTTGCTCTCCTTGTCTCTCTCTCGCTTCCTACCTATCTATCTCGCAGATTGAGTATCTATCTATCTCTGTCTTTGTCGATCTCTCTCTCGCTCTCTTGCTCTCCTTGTCTCTCTCTCTCGCTTCCTACCTATCTATCTCGCATATTGAGTATCAATCTATCTCTGTCTTTGTCGATCTCTCTCTCTCGATCTATCTCTCTCACTCCCTTTCTCTGTCTCTCTCTCTATCTATCTATCTATCTATCTCTGTCTTCCTGTCTCTGTCTCTTTGTCCCTTTCTCTTTCTCTCTTTCTCACTCTCTCTTTATTTCCCTCGCTCTCTCTCTCTCTCTCTCTCTCTTTCTCTCTCCCTCTGTCTCTGTTGTTGGTGTTTTAGATTTTATTTTCAACAACGACCACAACTCTCTGTCTCTCCATGTCTCTGTCTCCCTCTCTGTGTCTCGGTCTCTCCCTCTCTGTCTATCTCTTTATCTACAAATGCTCCACCATACTCGCCAGTATCTATCCATCTATCTAACTGTCTCACTTTCTCTGGGTCAATCTCTCATTCTCGGTTGTGTTCTCTTGAGTCTTATCGCAAGTCTTTATTTGCAAAGAGTGGAGCAATGACAGCACAAACTAGTACCTAGTCTAGTGATTCTCACTCACCATGTTGGCGACTGGCCTAGTTGATCCGTACAGCAGTCTTACAGATACCCTACAGGTACTAGGACTGCCACTAGTGCTAGAATCTAAATAGGACTCGAGCTACCTTTCTATTGGCTTGCTGCGATGACCCTAAGAAGTCGTCAAGACAAACTTTGTACGACTATATTCTGTTTCCTAGGCTAAGACAATCTAATGGTCAGAAAATGAGTATAAGTTGGTGCTGTTGCACACTACATCACACAGGACTACCCGTACGTCCGAACGTTCCAATTCCCTCCCTTTATATACCAGGAATGCCTGTGCGTGAATGTTCCAGTGGCTTGTGCATGGGTGATTGTCGCAGTAGCTGGAAGCTAGCCTGACGAAGCGGCGGCATGTGCATGACATATACGTATATCCACTACGCCATCCCATTAAAAGGTTGATTGGGTACCGGACCTGACGTTGTACCACACATTCCTAGGACACATGCACAAGTCGTAGCGACTCTGCGCGCCTTCACGTCGTTCGCTACTAT